GAAGAGTCATTAGTGACAGTTTAGCCTCAATAGCTTTAGACTAGTTTTCTGTTCATCATTAATCTTTCCCTTTGGGACCAGGGGAATCACTTGTTAACTAGCATTCTTCTAACATTTTTGACGTTCTATAATTCATATTTAACACCACCAGGAGACTAATGGGATGGAAAAGATGGGCACTGATAGCAGGGACTAGCCTGAGATCACCAAAAGTGTGTTCCCATTCCAAGGGTCATTCAGTCACGTGCAGAGTTAAGGACTGTCAATGACTGTTGCTACAGTCACCAAGGGAACATTAAGTATGAGACTTGTTTTGAATGTTGCAGTTTTTAGGAGTATAGAGTGTAATAATTAAAAAATATTTTGCTTTTTGGTGAGGCAATTGGGGTTAAGTGACTTGCCCAGGGTCCCAGAGCTAGCAAGTATCAATGTCTGAGGTTGGACTTGAACTCAGGTCTTCTTGACTCCAAGGCCAGAGCTCTATCCATTGCACCACCTAGCTGCCCCTCAAAAATATTTTTAAGATGTATTTTGACACTTAAGATTTTTCCACTTTAAATTAAACTAAAACCTTGTTTAGTGATGAACTCTAATCCTTTCCATGGCATCACTGTTTTCACACAAGAGCATATTTTTAATAGAATATTTGCCAACAGAATGAAATACACCATGACAGATTGAGAAAAGAGGATAATAACCTGTATTTTTTGTGACAAGTTCTCATGAAAAGAATTAGGAACCACAAATATCAGGAATCCTACTGTATCCAATCAATTGCCAAGTCTTGTCATTTCAACCTCTACAACGTCTCTTACATTCTTCCCTTTCTCTCCATATAACATAACGACAACTTGAGTTTACATCTTTATAATATCCTGCTGAAGTACTGCAATAAAGTCCTGATTTATTTCTATGCCCCAAGTCACTTCCCTCTTCAATCCCTTCTCCATAAAGTTGGCAATGGGATTTTCTTAAAGTATAAGTCCATCAATGTCACTCCAAAGCCTAAAAAATTGCAGTGACTCTCAAATTTCCTCCAGGATAAATTAATTTTAAAAAATACTTATTTTCAGTTTTATTGGTGTGTTTTGTTTTAATGTAACAAACATTTATAGATTATTTCTGCTTCACAAAATAAGTCTCTTGTAGCAAAGTAAAACAATTAAGTAAAACTAATAATACAGTGACCTTATCTGAAAAAGCATTCAACATTGCCATGTAGCACACTCCCCTTTAAAAACAATAACAAAATCTATTTTTACTCCTTCTCATCCCCATTCTATTGGGGGGGGGAAGGAAAAGCAAAACAAATTCTCTCAACGGCTGTATACAAAAATATACAGGGTGTTTCAAAAATTTTAACGCAGCTAAAAACTACTGACTTTTTAAAAAAAGTTTTAATATATTAAAACTACATTAAGACTTTAGGAACACCCCTGTATATAATTCATTCTCCATTCTAAACATGTTATATCTCTGTAATGGATACTATATTTCATCATCTGTCCTCTGGAATCATGGATCATTACTGTATTTACTCATTTCCCACCTGGATACACTACTTCAGGATTACTTTGACTTCTTCAACATGCCCCCAGAAGCCCATTATTGGGAACATCAACCTGCAAGACTAATTCAGCTTTGGTACTCAGACCTCATCCCTATTCTCTGTTCCTCTGACTGGAACTTGGAGCACGAACTTCAGAACCTCCATTTCAAGAGAGGGCTCAATAAAGATATATCATTTCACACCTGGCTGTTCTATTTTGGGACTTCTCTACCAAGTCATGCTCCTCTCCCCTGAGCCAGATATCTTCTAGATATGTTGTGTCCCCCATTAGATGGTCAGACCCCCACAACCATTTCCCCTCAGATCCTGATGGAAACAGTGCAGGGCCTTGAACCTGAAAGTCTTGAGAACAGCAGCACCCTCCAAACCAGCAGACCTGTTTCCCACCCAGCCCCCACAGCCATCACTGAGGAGAGAGATCACTGTGCACATCTTCCTCATCAAAGCACCAACAAGTGTTGACCAGATGCCACCAAAGGGCAGGTAAGCACAGGCACCCAGTGGCACACTCCCCAGATCACTGGTCCTGCTTCCAGCCTAGTCCTCATAGACATCATGTAGGAAAGCACTTCCTGTGGAGAAGGGGCCAATCTTGCCAATCAACTATCACAGACATAGCAGACAAGAGAACCTGGCCAAAGCTGTAGAGACAGAAGACCACATGTGCCAGAGAAGTCAAAACACTACCATCATCTTGACTACAATCTCCTCTCAGATCCTGAACCCAAAAGCTTTGGAACAGCAATGCCTCCAGCCCAATGTCCTCAGTCGTCATCCTGGGAAGCAAACCCTGTGGAAATGCAGACTGAAAGCTGCACCTTCAAGTGCTACAGCCACCATTACAGAAGAAAAAATTCTTGCTACCAAAGTCCTTTGTCAAATGCATTGCCCCCAAAAATCTGTCAAATGGTTCTACATAATTTTATCAATAGAAATAACATTAAAGAAGAGGCTTTAACATCTGTTTTGATGCTATACCTTAAGGACCAGGGGACTTTCCCATCTGACTTGTAGCTGAAACTTCCAAATATGTAGTGCCTGCATTAAATTTGAGCTCCTTGAGAGCAAAAGACTGTCTTACTTTTCTCCTTGTATCTCCAGAGCTCTATCGTTGTTCAATCATTTTCAGTTACATCCAACTCTTAGTGACTCTATTTGGGGCATTCGTGGCAAAGATCTTGGAATATTTTGCCATTTTCTCCTCCAGCTCATTTTATAGATGAGGAAACTGAGGCAAACAGGGCTGGGTGATTTGCTACAGTCACAAAGCCAGCAAGTGTCTGAGGCCAGATTTGAAAGCAGGAAGATAAGTCTCCCTGACTCTAGGCCTAGCACTATCCACTGAACCAACTAGCTGCCCCTTTTCCAGAGTTTAGCACTGTGCTTTGTACACAGTAGGCACTAAATGAATACTTCTTTTATTCATTCATATAGTGGAGAAGAGGGAGATCATGGCAATAATGCTACATCCACTCTACCACATGGCAATAATATTCATGTTCTTAGAGGCTTAATGACAGCTAGCATATGGGAATGTAACCTTAATGGATTTCGTGTGAATAGAAAGATCTAGTTTATAAAAGGATTAGAAAATCTTGGATTTTAGAAGGACCTAGTCCTGGAGATCATCTAGTTCAGTTAGTCAGTCAACAAGCATTTATTAAAAGGCAGCTAGGTGGTACAGTGGTTAGAGCTTTGGGCCTAGAATTAGGAAAACCTGAGTTCATAATCAGCCTCAGATACTTATTAATTGTGTGATCTTGGGCAAGTCATTTAATATCCCTGTGCCTCAGTTTACTCAAGTATAAAAAGAGGTCTGTAACAGCACCTACCTCCCAAGATTGTTGTGAGGAAGAAATGAGATATTTGTATAGTGCTTAGTACAGTACCTGGCCCATAGGAGGAACTTGATAAAATGCTTGTTCCCTTCTCTTCCCCTATTAAGTGCTTATTAGTATTTTGTACCAGGCACCGTTGTAAGTGCTGGAGATACTAAGGAAGGCAAAAACACAATCCTTAACTTTCATATGACAAACTAATGAGGGAAAGTCATTTGCCCAAAGTTAAATGGTTAAAAAATAAAATCAGCAGGACTCTAAGTCTTTGATGCCAAGTCCAGTGCCCTTTCCTTGCCATCATGGAGCATCCTCCTAACGATGACTATGATCTGCATTTCAGTATGAACTATGTCCACGTGGTACAGTGGACATAACATCAGACTTTGAAGTTATGCAACCTGGGTTCAAATCCCACCTTATTCACTTACTAGGTGTGTGATCCTAGGCAAGTCACTGAACTGCCTGTCCTTCTAGTGGGACAGGGTGGTACACCCCAGTAATCCCAGTTACTCAGGAGGCTGAGGCTAGTGCATCGCTTGAGTTTTGAGAGTTTTCCAGTACAACGGAATAAGCCAATTGGGTGTCATTAAGTTTGACAGTAATATGCTCAGTCTCTGGAAGTGGTTGGGGGGGGGAGTGAGGGCGGGGCATGTGGGAGGGTCCACCAGGTTGCCTAAGAAGGGGAGAACTGATTCAGGTCAAAAATGGAGCTGGTCATGATGATCAGAGTGAGATAAAGGCCATGAGTAGCTAGGGCAAGAAAAGGAGATCCAAAACCACCAAAATTTCTCTGTGCCTCGGTTTCTTCATCTGTACAATGAGGGGATTGTATCTGATGGCCTCTTAGGTCCACTTCTCTAAATTTATAAGCCTATGAATGCACACAGCCTAGCTCTGACCATTCTCAAAATCCTTGCTGAAGTCAGTGAATCACAGAACCTAAGAATCAGAAGGGAGCTCAGAAACCAACTAATCCAACTGACACCTGAACAAGAGGATCCCTTCAAGAATATACCACCAAAATAGTCATGTAGGCTTCAAAGGAAGATCTCTGCATTCCACTATTTCTCAACCCAATCCATTCCATTTTTTGGATTACGATGATCACTAGAACGATTTTTCTTACATAAGCTAAAATCTGTCTCTTTGCAACTTTAATTTGTTGCTGAGGTAGCTGGTTGGCAAAGAAGATAGTGTTGGATTTGGAGTCAGGAAAACCTGAGATTGAATCTTGCTTCAGACATTTACTAGCTACATGACCCAGGGCCAAGACCATTTAACCTCTCTCTGTTACATCTGTAACAGAGGGGATCTCATCTGTAAAGTGGGAATAATAATAGCAATAACCTTCCAGGGTTGTTGTAAAGATCAAATGAGATAATGCACAAAATGCTTTGCAAAGTGTAAGAAACAGGGTAAGAATTTGAGTAAAACTACATCATAAAAATAACTTATGGTTGTCACATTAGTTGATCCAATAAAAGGTCTCTAAATCTCTCTAAAAGAGAAAAGATCATGCCAGTCAGTGAAGGGATGGTGGGGGTAAGCTGGGGTGCAGCAAGGAGGGAGAGGGAGAGGGAGAAATTGCTTACCTGTGCTATATTTTTATTTAGAAGATAGACACCATAATCAAACTGCAACTTCTCTCCTCCTTTGGGATACAGTGGAAACCTAGGAAAAGTGAAAACAGCAGCATTTTAGAACACAGAGACCAGACATTTCCTAGATACGACACTGACATCTGAGGAATCGGACTACACTGTCTGTAAAAAAAATGGTACGCTAGCTTGACATCATCAGGATGTCGTCATGCAAGAACAACAGCAACTTTCTCGCAGGGAAGCCATTCAGCTCTTCCTGCCAACAGTGAGCTGAAGCACAATACTTGTGAAAATCATCCACAAAACCCCCGGCTCAAAAGCAAAGCAGGGAACCCTGTAGTGGCAGTGCGGAGCAAGGAGTATTCCAATTCCATCACCTCAAGTAGTAAGCAGAGGGGAACGAATGGAAGTGCAGCCAACACTGGCAAGGGTGAACCGAAAGGCTATGTATCAGAAGACTGCCAGAAGAAGAAGGAATCTTAAGATGAAGGCCAGCTTGTTGGCTGTGGAATAGGTATTCCAAAAGGCATGGTGGAAAGAGCGGGTTGGTCGGGATTTGGGGCTGAGATAACTGAGATGGATGTGAATAAGGTGGAAGGATGGGGTTTGGATGATGGCCTAGGGGAGTTCAGAATCACTGGGATGTGTAGGGAATGACATAGAGTTAATATATTAATCATTAAGTTGAAGGCACCTCTACTTTCCACAGAGGAACCTGGAGATCAGGCAAGAGACATGTGCAATGCAAAATGGAAGGCAAACAAGTAGAAAGTCTGTTTCTCCTTTTCCTCTGAAAGCTGGAAGTTAGGCAGGAGACAGTGTAGCCGAGATGGAAGTTGAACACGTGGAGCAGGTGATGACAATCTAGTTTCGCACTGACTCCAGGCAGAGCCAAGATGGTGGAGTAAAGAAACTCATCTAAGCTTTCCCAAATTCCCCTCCAAACAAGATTAAAATAACACCTCAAAAAGAATTCTGAAGTAGAAGAACAAAAGGACAGGATGAAATACTTTTCTAGCCCAAGAAAACTTAGAAGGTCCTCAGGAAAGTTATGTACCACTTGGGTGAGAGTGGAGTGCAGTCCAGGGCAGGCACAAATGCAGGGCTCACCCCAGCAAGCTAGCAGCAGGGCTTGGGAATGACTGAATTGGCTGTGGTGACTTCCAGAACTCTCAGTCCACAGATGGTAAAGGGGTTGGGCAACTGGTCAGAAGGAGATTACAGGAGACTCTTTGCTGGAACTGGGAGCAAGACTCTGTTACACTGCTCATATGTCGTTCCGGGTCACAGTCCCACGGTGAGGAGGAGCATTAGCAGGATATAGCTTTGGGAGAAGGAATAGACTTGATTTTCTTGGATACAGAGATTAGAAGTTACTAAGGCAGATTTAGGCTTGATGTAAGGGGGAGAAAATCTTAGGCAATTAGAAATGTACCAACTAGCATGGGATGCCATGGGACATAACAGGTTCTCTCTCACTGTAAATCTTCAAGTAGAGCAGTCTCTGGATGACCATTTGTCAGGGACATCATACAGAAGATAGTCATTTAGGTAAAGGTAGGGATAATGGCCTCTAAGGAAAAAAAAATACAAGGGGACACTACAGTTATGTTCAAGCATTTGAATGGTTGTCACATAGAAAATGGATTAAACTTGCTTTGCTTGGGTCCAGAGAGCAGAAGTAGGAACAATGAGGACAGTTTCAGAGGCATTTGGGCTTGGTATAGGGAAAAGGGGAAAAAAAACCAAAACTCAATAATTAGAGCTACCCAACAGGAGAATGGGCTGCCTCAGGAGGAAATCAGTTGCTCTTCAATAAATGTCTTCAAACATAAATTGGACAATCACTTGTCAGAAATGTTCTATCCTCATTGTGATATGAGTTGCGCTAGATGTACTAGATGCCTGCTCTCTGAAGCCCCTTTCAACTTAAATTTTCTGTGGACACAGTTTAACCTTCATGGTTGAACTTTTCATTCAATTCCACACTCAGGACCAAATCTGAATGCAAGTTTAATTGAGTCTCTTTAAAGAAAGTTTTCTACCATAAATAACTCACACAGGGTTGAGAAGGAGAATTATGCTAAGTGATTAATGTTTTATCTTGCTGATTTTGCAAAGTAATATGGCCCTTAGGTAGAAAGCAATCCCACAAAGATGATAATTATTATTTTCATTCAAAAATTCAACTACTTTGAATGGCTAGAGAAAGACACATGTTACAAATCCAGTAAAATACTGATTTCTAGTGAAATTAGAGGAGAAGGAAAAGGGTATTTGTTTTTGTTTTGCCTTAGGCTCTAGAGAGAGTGACTAATTAAACAATTTCAAAAAGGCCACGTTATGAGGTAGGTATTACAAAATGGTATGCACTAATAAAAGAGCAAAGTCATGACATGCATTTATCTTATGCCAAAAAAATATGCAAATGCTTAAGACCCCCCATAAGAAGATGCAGAAGTGTAGGCAATAAAAATTAAGGCAGGACACATGTTTCAAATATTAACTGTAGGATATGAGAGAGTTGGGAGAGTGGATCCAAAAGGAAATAATAATGAGCAATACCAGGCACTGAAGACTGTCTAGAACGATACACATTCTGGCCTATAAAGAAACCACCTAATAGCTGAAGCATGGGAAAGAGGGCACTTTAGAACAATTGACTGGATCCATAAACCTCTGTACTCTGAGGCTGTTAACTCAGTGAGCTATCACATGTATGCCATCTGCACAGCACTCCAAGTCCAGTGGAAACCCAGGTCTATCTCCATTTTCAGGTCATAAATATGGAAGTAGTTTCATATGTCAGAAGAGTAAATTGAGATAAGCATCCATTCAAAACCAAGAATCTACATTCCTAAAAAATGGACTACACAATGTCTACTTTATTTTGATTTAATAGGGATTTCTTTATAAAAATGTAGATACAAAGCATATTTGTGACATTAAAACAGAATTTTAAAGAGTGATTAGCCCTAAATAGTTGGGCATGTTTAAGACAGATCAAATATTAAGACAGATTTCAAATTCTATACTACTTTCAAATCCTTAATGGGTCACTTCAAGTTGAACCATATAATATCTTGTAACTGCTACACATTTATCTTACCTTACAAAACTACAGAGATTTATAGATCTTTTAAGCAATCTAGGAAAATAAAATCCACTTTAAAGGGCAAAAATATCACTACCAGGACATAAGATACAAATCAAAGGGATTTTATTTCAGTATAGATGGAAAGTTACATTAGCCAAACTATCACTGAATTTAGATTATGAAGGATAAAGTTACAATTAACAGTATAATGGTCATTTAAGCATGACCATAAAACTGCCCTCAACATGCAAAAACACAGTTTATTTTAGGATAGTATTTCGGTAAATTGCTGAGAGAGTTATGTTTTCTATTATTAAAGATGGAAACTTACAAAGGGCAATTTAAAAAATTCCTGATATCAAATAGTTTTTAAATGTCCACCTCCCATATTAGAAACATTAACTAACTCTCAGCACAGTGCCTGGCACGTAATAAGCATATAATCAATGACTGTTGACTGACTGCTTACCGATCTTTGTTCATAATGTTCCCTATTAGGAAAATATCCACCCCATTACCCTCCCCTTCATCTAATAAATTACTCTCCCAAATATTCAAACGGATCTGTGATCTCATCAATTTGGGAGATCTCTTCAAGGATGAAGACTGCAACCAATCTGATAGAGGACTGGGCCTGGAGTCGGGAAGGCCTGAGTTAAAGTCTGGCCTCAGTTACTTATTAGCTTTGTGACCCTGGGCAAGTCAGTTAACCTCTGTCTGTCTCAATTTTCTCAACTGTAAGATGAGGATAATAATAGCCTCTACCAGTTGTTGTGACAATCAAATGAGATAATGACTATAAAGCATTAAGCACAGTGCCAGGCATATAGTAAGCACTATATAAATGTTAGCACAGGATCATTACCATCATTAAATGGTCAAAGGTTACAAGCTGGCAGTTTTTGGAGAAAGAAAGCAAAGCTATCAATAGCCATGTGAAAAAAATGCCCTAAATCATTAATAATAATAGAAACACAAATTAAAACAAATCTGAGGTACCAAATCATGCCCAATCAGATTGGAGGATGGAACACAATAAGTATTTTAATGAAAAATGGAAAATGAGAAGTATTTCAATGCACTGTTGGTGGGCCTCAAAATTATTCTAACTATTCTGCAAAGCAATTTGAAAGCATTCCCAAAAGCAATTAAACAGTATATACCAGAGGTGCATGCTCTTTGACCCAGTGATACCCCTACTAGGACTATGCCCCTAAACAGATCAAAGAAAGAAGAAAAGGAACCATATGTACAAAAGTATTTATAGCAGCTCTTCTTGCAGTGGCAAAAAATTGAAAGCTGAGGGAATGTCCACCAACCGGCGGATAGCTGAACATGTTACATGTATATGTTCATATGTTATATGTATTGAATATTATGGAATACTATTTTGCTGGAGGAATAATGAAGGGAATGGTTTCCAAAAGACCTGGGAAGATTTATAGGAACTAATGCAAAGTGAAGAGAGAAGAACTAGGAGCATAATTTATTTAATAACAATTATATTGTAAAGATAATCAGCTCTGAAAGACTTAGTAATTTTGAGCAATACAATGACTAACCACACTTCTAAAAGACTCATTATGAAACATAAATCCACCTCCAGACAGAGAACTCACAGACTCAGGTCAAGATTGAAGCATATTTCCTCCCCTTCTCCCTTCTTCCTTCCTATTTCTTCCAGCATAGCTAATGCAGGATTTTGTTTTGCGTCACTATACTTATTTTTAGTGAGCTTTCTTTTTCTAGCCTTCTCAATGAGTGGGGGAGGAAAGATGGAGAGAGAATGCAGAAATGAAAATAAAATATATTTGAATTTTTAAGAGATCTGGTTCTTGTGTCCTCCACTTCTATCAAGTAGTGCTAAAACACTTCATTGCCTTTATTTCAAAGTTGTTTTTCTTTATAATTTCATAATTACTGGATGAATTATTTTCCTAGTTTTTCTCTCTTCACTATGCATCATTTCAAAT